GTTGGCTTTTGCTGAGAGCAAACTGAGAGATATCTGCAACAGTTGGCAGCTGAATGATGTTCAAGGACCAGATGAAGTTAGAACAGCAGGGTGACAGCTTACAGGCTGAAGTGCCCAACACTGTTGTGAGCTTTTAAGTGTTACCTGAATAATGTCAAGTTTGTGAAAGCAGCATGTGATTCCTGAATAAAAGAAGTCAGATAAAAGCACTATTAAAATGTGTCTGACCAGGTATTAAGAAACCATCCATCCATCTATTATCTATATGCTGCTTAATCCTCACTAGGGTCACAGGGGGCTGGAGTCTATCCCAGCTGACTAAGGGTGAAGGCAGGGTACACCCTGGACAGGTCACCAGTCTATTGCAGGGCCACACCCAGAGACAGACAGCCAAGCAGTCTCACATTGTATTAAGAAATGAAGGTGTGAAATTTAAATAGGTTTACTAGAACATGCAACAACAAAAAGCAGCAAACCTTTTTTTTAAAAAAAATCTGGAATCAGAGAATGCTTGAGATTGCTTGTTAAATATAGCGTAAACTATTCATCAACTTTTAAAATAGCTTCCAGTTCATTTTCTGTTGATTTACTACTTGGTTAATCTACTAATTATTTTAGTTTAAGCCAAGTCTTTCCTGATCTTCTTTGGTATTGTCATCACAGTGTCAACAGTCCCAGTTGAGATCTGAGACTTGTTGCCTGTCATAGTTTTTGTTCTACATAGATTTTCCCTTTGAATTCTCAAATACAAATTGCACTTCGCATTTCAAACAAAACATACTGAAGTCATGGATCAGAGACAATGATGCGCAGACAGCCTGCTGGTTATAAAAGTGTGAGTGTGAGATGAATTGACTGTTAAAATTAAAAATTGCGGGAGGAAGTGACTCATGTACAATCACATTTCTTCTTTTCTTGTTACTACAACATTACTATTTTAAACATTATTTAAAACAAATGGACTGCAAGGTGGCGCAGTTGGTTAGCACTGTTGCCTCGCAGCAAGAAGGTTGCTGATTTGCGTCCCGGTGGCGGCACCGGAATCTTTCTGCGTGGAGTTTGCATGTTCTCCCTGTGCAGCGTGGGTTCTCTCCGGGTTCTCCGGCTTCCTCCCACACAGTCCAAGAACATGTTGAGGTTAATTGGTGATTCTAAATTGTCCGTAGGTGTGAATGTGAGTGTGCTTGGTTGTCTGTCTCTGAGTCTGGCGACCTGTCCCCTGTTGTCCCCTGCCTTCGCCCTAAGTCGGCTGGGATAGGCTCCAGCCCCCCCCCGCAACCCTCGTGAGGATTAAGCGGTGTATGAATAATGGATGGATTTAAAACAAATGAAGCACTGTGTCTGGCCCTTAGCTGCTCTCCTCTGCTATTCAAAATCAGGTTGAGGTTGCAAATTGTGAAATGCAGTGCAATGTAAACACAAAATAGTATATTGGAGCCCAGCCTCTTGATCATTTTGTTTTCCTAAATTTTGCTAAAAATCAGCACAAATCAGATCTGTTCTGTAAAAGATTCTGATTTGTTTAGAGGCATTGATCATAAATCAGTGGCTGAGTATGTCGCCTCCTCAATAATGCATTAACGAATACCTAAGATAAGGTAATCTACCTCTGAAGTCACATTTTCTGAACTTAAAGAACTGTCAATCACTCGCATGTAGAGGAAAGCTCACACTCAAGATTACATCTACATTATAGCAACCTACTTTACACTGAAGTGTCTTGTGCCGGTATTTAGCCTTAGATGGAGTTTACCACCCGCTTTGGGCTGCATTCCCAAACAACCCGACTCCGAGATGTGATGGAAGCAGGTTTATGGAAATGTGTGACAAGAAAAATATTTTCAGATTTGAGTTTGTTGAACCATTAAAAGTTGTGTGACATCTAACACTTGTCAGATAAAAGGGGAAAAACTCTTTCTTTTTTCTGTTTCAGTAGTCACACTTTTTGGCAGTTTTCTGACTTGTTTTCTTGCTGCAGACAGCCTACAGAGTCCTGCAGCAGCATCCTCAAGTCCTCGGCAGCAGGATCGCCATGTTGGGCCTTTCCTTTGGCTCTGCTTTCACCCTGAAAATGGCTGTTTACTCCCAGGTTGTAAAGGTAAGACTCACCACCCGCAGAGGGAGTCATAGGGTGCTAAGGTGCTAAGAGGACTGGGTGGTGGTCGAGGGGGGCTGCCTCAATGGCTTGGTCCGAATACACAGCCTCTGGTTGTTGAGCGTGGAACGTCACCTCGCTAGGGGGGAGGGAGCCTGAGCTTGTGCGGGAGGTTGAGCGATATCGGTTAGATATAGTCGGCCTCACCTCCACGTACAGCCTGGGCTCTGAAACCCAACTCCTAGAGAGAGGCTGGATGCTCCATTTCTCTGGCGTTGCCCGCAGGGAGAGGTGGCGGGCTGGAGTGGGCCTGCTCATTGCCCTCTAGCTTAGCCGCCACGTGTTGGAGACATAGAGGCTGAGTGGTTCATGTTCTCCTCCTCCATCATCGCTGCAGCCACTCGTAGTTGTGGTCGTAAGGTCTGTCGCCCGTCCCAGCAGCAATCCCCGAACCCGGTGGTGGAAGTCAGAAGTAAAGGATGCCGTCAAGCTGAAGAAGGAGTCCTACCTGTCATTTTTGGCTTGTGGGACTCCTGAGGGCGACCGATTGTCAAACCTCAGGAGGAGCAGTCTGGTTTTCGTCCCGGTCGCAACACACTGGACCAGCTCCATACCCTCCATCGGGTGCTCGAGGGCTCATGGGAGTTCGCTCAACCAGTCCACATGTGTTTTGTGGATCTGGAGAAGGCGTTCGACCGTGTTCCTCGTGGCGTCCTGTGGGGGGTGCTTCGGGAGTATGGGGTCTGGGGCCCTCTGTTAAGAGCTGTCCGTTCCCTTTACGGCCGTAGCAGGAGCATGGTTCACATTTCCGGTAGTAAGTCAGACCTGTTCCCAGTGCGCGTTGGCCTCCGCCAGTGCTGCCCTTTGTCACCAGTTCTGTTAATTATTTTTATGGACAGAATTTCTCGGCACAGCCAGGGGGAGGAAGGGGTTCGGTTTGGGAACCATAGAATTTCATCTCTGCTGTTTGCAGATGATGTTGTTCTGTTGGCTTCATCAAACCAGGACCTTCAGCGTGCACTGGGGCAGTTTGCAGCCGAGTGTGAGGCAAGCGGGATGAGGATCAGCACCTCCAAATCCGAGGCCATGGTTCTGCATCTGCAGTGTTGCGGTCGCTGTACCATCATGGTGAAGAGAGAGCTGAGCAAGAGGGCAAAGCTCTCGATTTACCGGTCTACGTTCCTACTCTCACCTATGGTCATGAGATCTGGGTATTGACCGAAAGAACAAGATCACGGATACAAGCGGCAGAAATGAGTTTCCTCCGTAGGGTGGCTGGGCACTCCCTTAGAGATAGGGTGAGGAGCTCAGTCACACGAGAGGAGCTCGGAGTAGAGCCGCTGCTCCTCCACGTCGAAAGGAGCCAGTTGAGGTGGCTCGGGCATCTTTTCCGGATGCCAGGCCAGTCTCTCGACTGGCCTGGGAACGCCTAGGGGTCCCCCCAGATGAGCTGGAGGAGGTGTGTGCAGACCGGGAAGTCTGGGCGGCTTTGCTAAGGCTGCTGCCTCCGCGACCCAACTCCGGATAAGCGGAAGAAGATGGATGGATGGATGGATGGAACTACAGCTAACACTTATTTTCATATTCTTAGTATTTGTAAAATGAAAGCCTTTGTATTCATGTTTTTGCTGAGTTGATGGAATTTAAACCACTGCCACCTGTTTAAATCAAATCAAGTTTATTTTTATAATATTTTTTAAAATGTGTACATTGCTTTAGTCAACTTTGGTTATTTTCAGAGAGGCAACAACAAAAATGTGCAATTTGTAAAATAAGATGAATATAAAATCCTAGATCAGTAAGATGACTATGAGGCATGGGCATGAAGGTTGGCTGGAGATGGTGGAAAGCTGTAGACAGATGGAGGATCCACCAGATCTGTGTCCTGACTGGCTGCACTAAGCACGGCAGTGTGTTTTGACTGTTTTGCAGCTCATTAGAAAGTTGTCAGACATCCTCCTTAAGATCCTTTTTGTTTTGTCTGTTTGCTATCTGAAATAGTATAGGGTCCTCATTGGGTATTAGTCAAAACAAATGTCCATCCAATATCTGTACACCGCTTTGTCCTCTGTAGGATCGCTACAGGGGAAGGTGGAGCCTATCCCAGCTAACTTAGGAAAAGGCAGGGTACATCCTAGACAGGTTGCCAGTCCACATGCAAACACAAAAAGACATGAGGCCGAGATTCGAACCCAAGATCTTCAAGCTGTGAGGTGACAGTGCTAACCACTTCCCTACTCTGCTGCCCAAAATAAATATGACTAAAACAAGTTATAAGGAAAATATATATACTGAAAAGGACAAAAGTAAGATTTTAGCTAAGATTTTTGTAGTGTTGAAATGGTACATATGTATACATGCCAAAACCTGGTAGGTCAAAAGTGGTCAACAAGATCTGTACTATATAGCTTAGGGACTTGAAACAGTGGGGAACAGCTAATCTTGGCTGACTGTTTTATAGGGGAGTATAGATGGTAGGTCATATATTAGATGGGACAAGGAACATCCTGGACCCTCCAGGCCTAGAAATAGTTTACCATGTTACCTGGGCTGGATTAAGAGTGCCAGTGTGTTTGAGTATTTGCTTAGGCTTGTCCTCAAGAAGGATATGACAAGCTTAGCTGCTGAATGCAAAAATGATGCATCAGGAGAATCACAGAAAGATCCACTTCCGCACAGCACAAGAACAGAAGAAGAATTTCTTCTCCATGAGCTTATTTGAAACTGTCTTAGTTCTTAAACAGAACCTGGAAGTCTTTTACTCCAGCAGTAGCTCAGCTGTGCCAAAGCATTTTATTTAGATGGTCAATGCCTTAGATAGATCAAAGTTGTTGCCCTAAAATTACCCTGTCCAGACAACATGACACAGAGAAGATCCAAAATGTCATGTTTGATTATAAGGAATATTAACTATTACACCAAATTTTGTCTGAGGTTCCCCTCTGGCCAATGCTAATCTACAGTGTCTCAGTTACCATCATGGAGGGTCTGAAAGTAAGATCAGACTTCAGGGCTGGGCTTGCCATGAAGTCTGATCTTCCTTTGTCTTTTATGGGTATAACAGGAAGCTTAAGGACTGTCATTGAAGTTTTTTTTGTTTTTTGCTCCTTGTTTCCCTTTGGAATCTGCTTGTCGATTGAGACAAATTGTTTTCATATACTTAAAGTGTGTGTGTGTCTCCCAGCTCAGATGTGCAGTGTGTATTAGTGGGAGTCATGTGCAGCCGATTGATGGATCTGTGCAAGAAATACTGCAGTACTTTCACAAGTAAGTATATCTGTTTAAATGTACTTTATGATTTTGGTTGAAGTTGATAGAAACTGAATTAAAAGAAGGATAAGGAGACAAACAGATGTGAATCTAAGACTTGGTTTTGGCTAAGTCTGAGTCATCACCTGTCAGAGTTAGAGTTCGTAGAGGTGATTTTTAGATGTTCTTATTTAATTTGTTGTCAAATCAGACACGGCTCAAAGACTCGCTTCAGTGAGAAGAATGAGGTGATTTGGAGAGAATTGCTGCTGCCCATCCCCACTGACCCATCACTCAAAGTAGATGTAAGTACCATCAGCCACGTTGTCTCTGTCTTATTCCTGAACACTTCATCCTGTTTTCAAGGCAAATGTCTAAACAGTGTGTGATTTTATTTGTTACCCTTGATGTATTAACATCTAATGATATATAATTTTGACACGAAGGGAATCATGGCTAGAAGATGAATCTGTTATCAAGATGAAAGTAAAATGACATCTTTCTTATGCTGTAACTTGGTTTGACCAACCACACATCACACATTGTCACGTGGCTTAACGCAGTGGTTGTCAAACT